GTGCTTTAATCAGTGTAAGTCTGCCACTTTGATAAAAATTTCCTTTCCAGCTGCTAATCTCCTCTCATACATTTCCACCACCGGTCCAAGATAAACTATTTTGTATTTAGCACCAAATGGTAGGGCAAGATATTTAATTGGTAAAGACACTTCTTTACATCCAAAACATTTGCATACAATCTGCCATTCCCAACACCATCCATTTTACCAATTCCGATTTTTGGAGATTAATCTTCAAACCCGAAACCCCTTGAAAACACAATAAAATACATCTTAGATGAAGAAGGTTCCGTACATTTGGATGACAAAAGATTAGAGTGTCATATGCAAAGAGCAAATGAGGATTCGATTTAGTTGTTAGTATGACTTTATTATTTGCTATTTACTGAGGATTCGATTTAGTTATTCTTTACTATATTTGTAAAGTTTGGTACTGTGGAGAGCGTATGTTACTCCAAAGTATTGACTAGACTACATGGGATGGGGATGTCGAAAAAAATACGCATGAGTAGGAATAAAATTCCAGCATTGCCTCATGTGCAGGGTTGAAACCGAGGATACAGATCAGTTTAGCAGAATGTTTGGCTTGGAGAAGGATTGCCCAAAGATCAGTTTCTCGAGATTTATGCTATTGCAAAATACAATGAAATCATGGTTTTTGAGTCATTAAGAGATAATTTAGGGGAAGGGGAAGAGGATGGGAAAGGGAGTGACATGTGGAAGTTATGAGAAACCTAAATGATTGGAAAATTAACGATTATGAGACTCACTTAATACATTCTTATTTGCCTCAATTAATGAGTGTAATGACGAATCAATCTAGAGTCTCAATATCAAAGAATCTTTCTTGGTCAGATCTTTCTATAGATATTTGACCGAGAATGACATCATGAAAATCACATTTCCTTTTTGGCAATATGGAAGGTCAATATTCTACCTAGAGTTGCTTTCTTTGCATGGGAAGTAGGTCGTGGGTGTATCTTACTTTGACAAGCTGATGAGGAGGGGAAAGATTTTGGTGAATGGTTGTTTTCTATGTAAAAAGACCATTTGGGAGATGCCTTGGTCGGTAAGGGAAGAGATTTGGGCCTGAATGGGTATTTGTGAAGAGAAGAAAAGTGAGTCTCATTCCTCTTACTATCTTTTTGGGTGCTGTGGGGAGATAGGAACAAGTGAGCTTTTTTTTTTTTTTTCTGAAATAAGAGCAGCAGGAGAGCTTTTAAGTTGGGTGGAAAATGAATTTGAGAGGATTTTGGGGACCTTGTTGATATTCTGCTTAATATGTGCTTTTTTATACATGAATTAGCTCCCCCTTGGTGCCGGTGAAATACTATACCATGCCATACTTTTTATTTACAAAAAGGTTATTCAATTAATTAAGGTATTTTTAAATATACTTAAGACTCTTATTTCGGTTGTACTTTTAGTACTGTAAATAAAAATACTCTAGCTTAGTTATTCGGAAACTATTCATATAATTATTCTACAAATATTAAGTTATTGATTTGATCATTGAGATCAGACATTTTGAATTTTGGTTCTAAATAAGTTTTCTCCAAGTAATATGATTAAGATCTCTTTATCATACATTAGGATATTTAATACCTCTCCTCTTTTGTGGGTACCGTTCCCTTCCCTTGAGTGCTTTATCTCTTATTCTCGATGAGGCATTGAGAAAAGGAGGAAAGTTTGCATTGGAGAGAATCTATTTGTAGTTATGGGTGCTGTCTTTGGAGAGAAATGTTACTCTTGAGTCTCGGATAGAATGATCTTTTGGCTTTTTTCGAATGCTAATGGGCACATGAGGAATGGTCCTTCCGCTATTTTGGAAAAGCACTGGTTGTGGTTCTGTACTGCTCTTTATGTTCTTTGTTTCTTGTTCCTTTTTCTCTTTTTGTTCTCTTTGTTAAGGAGGATCTTTTGCTTCTTACTTGTGTACTTCTCTCTTTTCTCTCTAATGATATATATTCTCGTCATAAAAAATCTTTGCTGAAAAAGGATAAACTGATTGCATCTTTTTATTGTGTAGCTTTATCTTGTGACTGAAACATAGAAAGCAGGAAGTAAATGATAAAGAGGTCTAAGAAGATTGATATGCATATTTTGATGGTAGGTTCGGTAGCATTTATCATATCCTGTGGTGGACCTCACATATGTTTGAATGGATAAAATGAATTGGATAAATCTAAAAAGGAAGAATAGAAGTTAAGAGGTTTGATCCATAAAATGATTTATCTAAGCGGACTAATCATTTCCGATTAAAATGTTTTCTATTAGAAGTTTATTCTGGATACAAGGATAATGGCAAAGGGATCTCTTTTTAGTAGCCTACTTTTTAGAGTTTCATTGATTTGAGCTGTGCACTTCTGTTGCCAATTTCTTTTTCAGGATGCTTTAGAGCCATATATGAGTCGAAGGACTCTGGAGAAGCACTGGGGGGAACATCATCGCATTAATGTGGAGGGTCTGAATAAGCAGCTTCAGAAAAATGATGTACTATATGGCTATACTATGGATGAACTTGTCAAAGCAACATATAACAATGGGAATCCCCTACCGGAATTTAACAATGCTGCTCAGGTATGTCTAAGGTTGGTGATATGCAATGCCAAATTGAATCATCATACTCTCTTGTATCAGGTGTAGCAACCTTACTGTAAATCAAGTAAATACAATCGATGATAAAACAAGTAATACTATGATAAAGGTGTTAGACACCCGTCTGCAATGATAGCTAACTAATTAGGGCCAACGTATTTAACAACAATGCATGTGTTCAACATTCAAGAAACACATAAAAGAAATTAAAATTAGTATTTTACAGTTCATTCTCAGGGAGACAAAATCAAGTACTTCACCTGATTATAAGTTATCTGGGTTTAGCATAACTAAGGGAAGTTTAGAACAGATCTAGAAATATTGTGGAATTCATTTGTAAATTTACACTTAATCTTCTAGAAAATATACCACGATCACAAACAATTGACTACATATAATTCAATATGGAAATAGAACAATATATTCTAAATTCTTCTAGAATTGCTGGAATTTGGAACATATTGTTGTATACCACATAATTTCCTATTTTCTAATATTTTATCACACTTTAAGAAAGATTTCATCACTTTCTCATGAAATTGTTCCAACACAGCTTACGAGTTTTTTTTTCTGTTCTAAGGGAAATGATTATGGTTAATGTGATTATAGGAGTGAAGCTTTTGTAGATCACCGTTGAATCTGATAATGCAGGTCTGGAACCATGATTTCTTTTGGGAGTCCATGCAGCCAGGTGGGAGGGGATCTGCCAAAACTTGGTGTGCTCCAGCAGATAGAAAAAGATTTTGGTTCCTTCACAAATTTCAGAGAGAAGTTCATCAACGCAGCTCTTACATTATTTGGCTCTGGGCTGGGTTTGGGCTTGTCTGTGAGTACCTTGTTAAGTTCATATGCATGTGAGTCAATGAAACTAGTTGTTTCCTTATCGAAGGTATGATTCTTTAGTCATTTTCTTTTTGCAGCATTTGAAGTTCTGAAGAGACAATAATAACAGCTTGGAGAGCAACAATAATAATCTGAAAATT